AGACGATTGCCAAGTTGTGTAACGTTAAAACAAGTGTTGCGAACAAGTGTTGCGAAAGTTTATTCCAGAGATATCACAAAGGAAGCAGTTAAAGTGGCATAATTTTTTTTGCGATAATAAGTTGACTTTGACAAATCCTTGCATCATTGGAAGCAGAGTAAAGAGAGGAGAATTTATGAACTCAAAAGACTGAACCATGGGATGAAATAAGAACCTATTTCTCAGCAAATCTTGTATGCCTGAATTATTAAAATTTTTGCAGCATTTGTTTATAAGAAATAAACCTATTATCAATGTATATGGTTGTTGTTTGTGTTATTATCTTATGCAATTGAATAAGTAGACCACTTCAGAATTCGAAATTTGGGACTCTCTAAATGCATAATGGGACTCATACTTTTCTGATCAGCGAGTCCCTGGGACTCGCAGGGCTCAAACTGTAAAATGATCACTGCTTTCAGGTGAGGTCATGTGTCAGCAAACCCCTCAGGGCCAGCAAAGGCATCCTGCAGCATTTGCTTCACTCATGAGAGAGAAGAGACAAGATTTGAGGCAGGACAACTTGTGGCTGTTTCACAATGACAACGTGTCTGCTCACATTGTGCTGAGCATCCGACAGTTCCTTGCCGAGAAGAAAATCGCTGCGCCATGGCAAAGAAAGATGGGGAAGTGCACTGGATGCCGGGGGGGATTACTTTGCAGGAGAAAACGTATAGTTTGGATTTGAAATACATCTTTCGGAAAATATTATTTCACTTCACCTCTTTGCCATCACTCACACTATTCTGTGGTGGCACCACAAAAAACAATAACAATGTAATCTTGTGGAATGATTGATTTAGATGCTCGATGAGCTGAACTCTTTGGAGATTTTCTGAGAATGTGCAAGATAAGCATGAGGACAATTTCCACATTGTATGACTTTAGGGTCATTTATATTTTTCGGTTCCTCTATATTTGTTTAGATTTTTTTTTTGGGGGGGGGGGTGCAATTTGCCAGCATTCTGGCAAACAGCAGGTACTTACGTGAGAACGTAATTGACGCTGACGATGCAGTGAGGTCTGGAGGAGCGACTGTTGTGTACGATGGTTGCATAACTCTGAACCCACACCCAGCCACCATGTTTGGCCAAGAAACGGTAGTACCGAGTGGTGACTTGCCCTTTCACGAGCACTACAAAAAAAGAGTAAGTGGGGTGGGGTGTGGGTGATGGGGGGTTAAAATATCATCTATGATCAAGAATTTTATGAAATTAAAATCAATGGAATAATCATGGTATAACAATCATCATTTTCCTCGCTTGCTCTTTAAATGCAGCTTTGTGGTTTTCATAAATCTTGTATATTTTTCTTCCTTCATAAAGAAAAATGACACTAGCCCATCAGTCAATGGTCAGTATCATGCTTTTGAGTACCTGCTGCATTCATGTATTTTCTTGAGGTTCTCAAAAATAAAGCTCTTGCGGAAAATTTATTTACTGCTCTAAATTAGCCTTATGAGTTACTCATCGGAAAGTTCACAAACTGTACAAAGTTTATGAAATTAAAGAAGAGAGAAGTTCATACAATTTGTCCAAAAATAGCTCCCTCTTTTTTTTGTGTGCGTGTGTTAAGAATAGGAACCGAAACCGAATTGAAGAACTGGCATCTGAATTGTCCAAATTCACACCATGTTCTTCAATTCAAGTTACCAAAAATGGTTACCAAGTTATTATTATTATTATAATTTTTTTTAATATCTATTATACCTACTTCCTCTCAGTAAAGTATGATAATATTGCAGGTGTGTTGCATGATCAACTACTCACATAAATGATGTGCACAGCGCAGATGGAAGGAGTCACAGCTGTGGACATGATGATAGAGGGTCTTCTCTATTAGATCTTGTGGCTCGTAGCCTGTAAGCTCTGCAACCCTAAACAACGCACACACGCACACCCGCATTTTCAGCTGTCATTGAGTGTTCTCATGTTGACACGCAATCCAAAGTGCTGGGTTGGAAACACATCAACTGACAAAGCATGGAGATACTCGTGTGGAAATGACACACATTGATGTCACCTTCACAGTGCATCGGTGGTGTGAACATGGAAGTAAGTAAATAAATAAATACCGCGAGTCGAGGAAGATGAGCTTCATGTCCAGGCTGGCTCTGAACATGAACATGTTGCTATGCAGTTTGATCTCTGTCACCGCACTGGGTGGCAATGAGTGACCGACGGCCACCAGCCCAACGTTCTGATAGCAGCCGTCAAATGGAGACATGTCCAGACTGTACTGGCGGATTTTCAAGTAGCCACTGCAGTGAATGACCTGGGTAATGAGTGGATCTCCATTCAATGTTGCAAGAAGAAACCGATGAGGTAATCATGTTAAAACAACCGTTTCTTTTCTGACCTTGTAACCGCCACACGTAAGCCCAGCGTTCCTCTTTGCAAGGACGCATTTCATTCTCAGAAAGAATGAGCGCTCCATCTCATATTCTGCATGGAGGAAAAAAAAAAGAATAAATAGTAGATTCAACGTCTCACAGAGGTTGCATGGATACTGAGAGGTAATGAGGTTGGATTGATTTTGATTGTCTAACAGGTAACTTAGCTTGGACTCTGAAAAGTAACAGCACCGGTGTTGAAGAGCCTCACATTTTGCTCTTTGGTAAAGTTTAAATCCACTGAGCTATGGTGCGGCTATTCAGCATGATATCAAAAGAGCAAAAAAATGAATAATAATACAGACATGGACAAAGAACGATTCTACACTGGCGTGAATGATTGTTTGTCACCGAGAGAATCATCATGAATGTTCTTCTCTCAGCAGTCACAATATCATGACGCGATGAGTTCATATCATGCACAGAGTTTGGCTCAGTTTTTACCTTGGACAAAGTGTGAATGGTAAGGCTGGTGTGCTGTGAGGACAGCTGTCATTTCATCATGGTCTGCCGGATGAATGTATTCAAAGATGCTGTTTCCTGTCAACTCTACCTGAAATGCACAACCATGTCAGGACTGTGACACCTCAGATGCGACATAGCAAAGGAGTTAACATTACCTTTGTTAAACCAACCTGAGACAGACCCAAATGCACCGAGGCCGTTTCCGATATGTACATTATTTTCCCATCTGGAGCAACCACAAAAATAAAGCCATCCAATGTCTGAAAGAAACAACAGAGATGTTATCATCACGAATAACCAGGTTTCCACCCACATTCCAAAAACATGCATAGCAGGATGATTGAGCACTCTAAATTGTCCCAAGGTGTGAGTGTTAGCGCGGATGGTTGTTTGTCTCTGTGTGCCCTGTGATTGGCTGGCAACCGGTTCAGGGTGTCCCCCGCCTACTGCCTGAAGACAGCTGGGATAGGCTCCCGCATCCCCCCCGTGACCCTTGTGTGGATAAAGCGGTTCAGAAAATGGATGGATGGATGGATGGTATTATGCTGGACCTTGTGCCAGTAGAACTTGGTGTAATGTGGTGTTTGCGCCTTGTGCACCACTGTGGAATGGAACGTAGCGTTTTCCCAGCGAATCCTCTGGCACAGCTCATTTGCATCAAAGTCAGAGCAAGTACAGCTCGCAGGCCCGAGTAGGCCGTGCTTATATTGCAGAAACAGACATGTGACTCGCTGGAGTCTGTGAATGACATTGAAACATAAACTGCAATACAGTATCTCCCCTTTCGAATGAAGTTACTCGGTCGTGTGTGTGACGTGGGCAATTGAAGCCTTGCACCTCCTGATCGCGCGTCCGGGTGTCTGAAAATTATGATTCGCCCGTTTTTACGCCTAGTGCAAGCTAATTTCTGTCACCAAATTATCAGGTGCATCGGAACGAGGCTGTTTCATCCCCCAGACATCCAAAGAGGCGCAACATGGAATGGGTGGGTCTCACAAAGTGTGGTCCAACCGGATGGTCAAACACTGACTCCCTTTGAAAGTCATTATTTTCCTCCCCTTTGCAATTATTCACCAGATTTCGCCGATTACAATATTGCAGACTCTGCAGAGCTAAAATAAACAACTTGATGAGGACTTGTGCTGTCCTTTGTGTGTGCATGTAATTTGAGTCTTGAAAAAAAGCTGTCCCGACAACTTCCTCTTGGTGAGTTGAGAACATACCCATGTAATTGAAGCTCTTTATACCCATAAATGCATCGGCTCTCTTATTAACAATAAATTGTCAGAATGTCAATGCAACATAATTTAATTGTTTCATCGCGTTCCACGCTGAACACAAAATGACAATACGTCGTCAGAAAAAAAAAAAGGTGAGGATTATTTTACACTTGCTGCACGCACGATTTCGTTCGTGTATTCTTAGCGTGTGAGGCGACAGGATTTGAACTGTGCACAATTCAACTGTACGCATTCAGCATTTTGCGAATCGAGCGCGGATCATTTGTCAGCGTCTACCGTGTCTCTAAAATAATGCTGCGTATAAATAATGGCAATTGTTGATCATTGAGTGTTACTTTTCAACTTAAATTGGTCGTTTGCGCCTGTTTAAACCAATGGGGTAGACCACGGCATTATCAATCTCTTGCGAACAATCGGGTGAGTGAAGTATCTTTATTTATTCAGCGCACACTGCGGGTAGGTTTGATTTAAAGCATGAATTTTTGTGGTCAGTTTTTGAACAAGTTTACTTTTGGCTTCTTATGTAACACTCCCGTACCACATGCATACAAATACTGTATTAGTCGTTCTCAGAAAGCCTAAAAATGTATTTCGTAAAGTATTCATACGATTGCATGCCACACATTGGCGTTTAAAAACTGCTATAAATGGCCTTGCCACTGGCGAGCCTGCTCCTTTGTGTTGCTGCTAATGTGAGAAATGACGAGCGCAGTGTGAAGGCTCAAAAACAGATTGAGGCCTGCGCATGACCATGAATGCGCTCAGCTCATTTAAATCCTCAAGCACTGTAAGGAGAGCACTGAGTGGCAAATGGTGGGAGATAAGACACCACCCACTGCTTGAAAAAATAGACAGTAATAATAATAATAATAATAATAATAATAATAATACTGTAATAATAATGGCGATGATGACCTGTAAGAGGTGGGAGCCTAATTCCTGGCTGACCCCATCCAGAGAGCTCCGGCTCACATGGCCCCATGACTCACCAAGTCCTGGAAAGAAAATCACATACAAATATTTTTAAAAAGACGATATACTACTACTACTACGACTACTACTACTACTAATACAAACAACAATAAGTTAGAGGATAGCAGAGGAATTAAGCAACACTATGCATCGCATGCAGTGCAATTTTATATATTTGAGATGCTGTCGACTGCGCACCGTAGCCTAATAATGTCATCAGATTAAAATCAGCACATCTTAATCAACCTCGGCTTTTAACACCTATATAGATCGAACGCGTTTCTGTCTTGTGAAACTATTAGCATAAACTATTCAAAACGGAGGAGAAAAAAAAAAGCTTAAGAGTTAAGCTGCATGAGGCTCAATACCCAAAGCGGGGCAAAACAAACACGAGTCCGCGCAGCAGACTGTGGAATTGAAATGCAAATGTGCAGCAGAATAAACAGGCGGCATGTGGGCAACACTGCGCTCCATAATATGGACTTCTCTGTTTGGACTCGGAACACAATCGCATCGCCGCCACCACTCTTTACCAAAGAAATTCTCGTCGAATAAATACTTGAATTGGATTAAGATTCCTATCAGGAACCAAAAAATGAATGTAAAATTGTTCATGCACCGCCTCGGAGGTAGTTTGTTTGGGAGAGAATAAGATTATTTAATTACACGACTTTTTTTTATGTTGTCAACTCGTAAATCGTTTATTCACTTTGAACAACATTAATACTCATTTAGATTTGTTTATGTCAGCTACAGAAAGAAAAAAGATATATTTCAATACTACACGTGTAAACACAATTTTTTAAAAATGTGACGGGACGTCATATTAAAAGAACGAATTATTATTTTTATCTCGTACACTACACAATAAACAAACCAGCAGACTGTAAAAGCATATTTTTCAACTCGGTAATGAACCTTTCCGGATCGATGAGCGGCTCACTTAAATAAATTCATCTTCATCTGTAATTACGTTTTTTTTTTTTCATATTAAGACGTACTGGGGCGTGGGCAAAAAAAAGTGGTACATTTTTATTATTAGTAAGGTGTTAGTGGTGTGTGTGACCGGGCCTATAAGTATTACTAAATTGAAATGCCAGTTTTTAACAGAAGGTGTATTCTGGCAATAATGGCCCAATTTACAAAAGGTCACCTCTAGGAACACTTGAGCAAGTACACAGCATAATCTCAACATAATTGTTGCAAAGTTTATTTTAAGTTTAGGTATTTTCAGTAAACTCCCACGAGAAAGTATTTGTGATTTGAGATGTAATTATACCGAGATGGACATCATAGCGAAGCTCAGCAACATCAATCAAAACAAAAAGAAACAGAACGTTTTAATATGTGCAGCGCGTTACTTTTAGTAACCATGCCCATATTTATTCCTAAACTATAAGGATTTTTTATTTAATCATTGCACTATTTCCTTCTGTTTCTTACACTCCGTAATTGTGTATAGGCCTATCGTAAAGTGTTTGTCAGCATTTTAAAAAATGGTGCCGATGTTTGCTGCAGCTTAATTGCACCGTTTCCCTGCTCTTAGTGCTTCCCATCCAGGTTCTTTGTGAGTGCACCTTACACTAAATGGCGACGATGAGCCTTGTGTGAGGCTCAAGGAGCCCCATATGTTGTAGGATCAGATACGGGCATGATGCTAATATGCGAGGCGCTGCAGCAGTCACGCGTGCAACATGGATCCTCATCACAGGGACTCCAGGAAATCACATCACTCAGTCTCTGAAATTAGTCTAGGTCAAAGGAATTCATGAACGCTATTTATTTCATATTGAATTGAACATTGTGGGCAGCGGAGTGATTCATCACACTTGAAAGGTTCTGGGTTCGAATCTCCACCCGTTTCGCGATCACTTCGGACAGGTTTGTGCAATAGATATATACCATTGACGAGATGTTTTTGTTTTTTTTAATTAGAATGTTATT